AGCGCGCGGGATGAATGTTTGACAACTTTTTTTTGAAAAACCATTGGTTGTTTGATGTTTTTATGTTAAAATCGCTACGAAAACTAAGGTTTTGGAAGGATTTCGTCTTGCGCGCGCGAATGTCCACTTTACCTTATTTTTTGCAAGGGATTCTTGAAGTTTGGTTATGTTAGAACAAGAAATGTCCACTTTAGCTTATTTTTTGCAAGGGAAAACCGATCGTAACAACACAACCGGATCCGGACTCCCCGTTTTGCCTGAGACTTCCTCACGAAAATGATGAAAATGAGGCTGCGGCCTAGGCGCGGCGGGGGGGTCGTGCACCAGGGGCCCCAACAATAATTATTCTTTAGAAGTAATAATGTTCAACAACAACAAGAACAACAACAACAACAACAACAACAACAACAACAACAACAACATCATCATCATCATCAGCAGCAGCAGCAGCATCATCATCATCATCAACAACAACAACAACAACAACAGCATCAGCATCATCATCCTCTTCATCAACAACAACAAAACAACAATAACAGCAGCAGCAACAACAACAACGACAACGACAACGATAACGACAACGACAACGACAACAACAGTCATTTTAAGACTGATCGTTCTTCCCTGCTCGCGTGCCACTCAACACGTATATCATATATCCCAAACCCTCGATACTCGCCCTCTTAATGTTCGATCCTAAACCCTTCGTTCGGGGTGTATCTTTCCTACCTGCAACGCGCGTATGTTGTTCGGCCCCCAAGGCAGGGAAAGAGAGGATGGATGGAAGGAAGGAACAAGGGAGGAAGATGGGGCACGAGAGAACACAGCAGAAGGGTGGCCAGAAAGAGAAAACACGTGGCAGAACCAGGCGGGCAGAGCGGGCGGGTAGACCCTGACGGGCAGGTCGGGAAGGCGGGCCTGGATGGCCAGGTCGAGCAGGCGGATTGCCAAAGCGTGCGCCCCGCATGAGTCGCGAGGAAGTCTCGAGCGACAGCGCGCTTCGCCAATAAATCTGGAAGAAATCCACAGCAATAGCGTGCTTCCTGAGCGTCGAGAGCGCGGCGTCTGAATAAACTGCAAGGGTGTCCCACGCGAAAGCGTGATCCATGCATGAATGAAAATTTATGAGGAAGCCCCTCGCGAGAGCGCGATTTGGAAATAAACTGTGGGAAATTCCGCCGACCCTGGCGGCGTGTGCGGGGTGTCTGTCCGGTCCCGTCGACGGAGAGCCTTCTTTCGCCCACTCCTTCCCATCCTCCTCTCCCGTTGAGGGACAAAGAGGAGAGAGAGAGAGAGAGAGCACCCTTCCTCGTTCGGGGAACGGGTTCGCAGCTGAAGGGAATTCCATCCACGTCCTCCTTACGTCAATGTGAAGCCCCTTCCCTTTGTCCCTGCCCCGGCGAGGGGGGGTCCCGAGGGAGGAGGGGGGGTCAGATTCGCATCGCCTCAATCCCAAGGGGGGGAGGGGGAGTCAAATACGTATCCGTCCTTGGGGGTCCTCCTCCCCCTCCCGTCCCGTCTCTCACGCAGGTCCTCCTCCGGTCCCCCTCCCAAGGGGGGGCCAAGGGGGGAGTCCTTTTCCTCCTCCTCCTCCTCCTCCTCCTCATCTCCGCCTCCTCCTCCTCCTCCTCCTCCTCCTCCTCCTTATCTTCCTCCTTCTCCTCCTCCTCCCCCACCTGGTCGTCGTCGACGTCTTTCAGGGTGGGCGGCACCGGCCGTCAGGCCTTCACAATATCATGCGGGAGCCGCTGTTGTTGTAAACCGGTGGCCAGGGGCACAGTTTGAGCAGGAAGACTTTCCCGGGTAAAAACACAGCGAGCCCCTGGACGGGCACTTCAATTTAAAAAGCACGTATGTTACGCGAATGCGTGAATCCTGCATAATTCGCCAGGACGTCTCGGGCGAGAGCGCGATTCCTAAGAAATTATGAGGAAGTCCCAGGCGAGAGCGCGATTCCTGAATGGCGAGGGCGTGGCGCCTGAATGAATTGCAAGAAAGTCACAGGCGAGAGCGCGATTCTTGGATACATTGCAAGCATTGCAAGGAACTCCCTAGCGAGAGCGTGATTCCAGAGTAAATTGCGAGGAAGTATCAGGCGGGAGCCGTTGTTTTTGTAACCTGGGGGCCAGGGGCGCAGTTTGACCCTTGCGACTTCCCCCGATAAAAAACAGGGTGCGAGCCCCGGGGGAAGCACGTCAGTTGAAAAAACTGAATGGTCACCAGAGGGGGAGGATCAAGAATAATTATTCTTCTGTAATGAGAGCTCACAAAAGACTAACGAGAGAAAACAAAAACAAAAAAAAAACGCCGACGACGACGACGACGACGACGACGACAACAGCAACGACAACAACGACAACAACAACAACAGCGACAACTACAACAAAAACAACAACAACAACAACAACAATAACAAGAACAACAACAACAAGAACAACAACAACAACAACAACAACAACAACAACAACAACAACAACGACAACGACAACGACAACGACAACGACAACGACAACGACAACGACAACGACGACAACAACAACAACAACAACAACAGCAGCAGCAACCATAAGCAACAACAGCAACAACAACGACGGCAACAACAACAACTACAACAACAGCAACAACAACAGCAACAACCACAATCGGTTTAATAATGTTACAGCTCGCTCTTACCTGCTTGCGTGCCATTCTACACGTAAACCCCAAACCCTCGGTACCCGCCCTCTTCGTCTCCGATCGTACCCCCCCCCCCGGGGGGTATATCGTCCTTACCTGCCGCGAGTAATTGGTGCAGCCCCTGAAACAAGGTAAGAGAGGACGGATGGAAGGGGGAGGGAGATGGAGAACGGGATTAGCAGGAGAGGGGCTAGGAGCAGAAAACACGTGGCAGAACCAGACGGGCACCGCGGGCGTGTAGATCCTCACAGGCGGATCAGGAGGCGGGCCCAAGCGGCCAGGTCGAGCTGGCGGGTCGTTAAAGCGTGTTCCCTGCATGGTTCGCGAAGAAGGCTCGAGCGATAGCGCGATCCCCTAATGAATCTTGAAAATCCACAGCGAGAGCGTGATTCCTGAGTGTCGAGGGGGCGCGGCGTCTGAACAATTGGTGAGGAAGTCCCACGCGAGAGCGCGATTCCTGCATAATTTGTGAAGAAATCCCGCGCGAGAGCGCGATTTCGGCATACATTGTGAAAAAGTATCCGGCGGGGGCCGTCAGTGTTCCCAACAACACAGCTTGGTGGCACCAACCTTTCCTTGATACAAACCAGGTGCGAGCCCCGCGAGAGGCCCTTGAACTGAGAAAGTTACCAATCCTACTTATTCTTTGGAAATGGAGACAAACAAACGACTACAGCAGCAGCAAAAACAACAGCAACATCTGCAACAGCAACAGAACAGCAACAGCCACAACAACAACAACAAACACAGGCAGCAGCAGCAGCACCAGCAGCAGCAACACCAGCGGCAGCAGCATCATCACCAGCAGCATGATATGCATGATCATCATCATCATCATCATCATCATCATCATCATCATCATCATAATCACCATCATCATCATCATCATCATCATCATCATCGTCAGCATCAGCATCATCATCATCATCATCATCATCATCATTAGCATCGTCATCATCACCAGCATCATCACCGTCAGCAGCATCCGCAGTATCATATCCGTCGACAACGCCGACAACATCATCAGCAGCATCATCACCATCATCATCAGCCTCATCAGCATCATCATCCTCATCATCATCACCATCATCAGCATAATCTTGGTCATCCTCATCCTCAACAGCATCATCAGCATCAGCATAATCAGAATCAGCATCCTCATGAGCAGCAGCATCATCAGGATCATCATCGTCATCATCCGCATCCACAACATCATCCTCATTATCATCATCACTAGTATCATCATCCACATCAGCATCATCTGCATCATCGCCACCATCAGCATCACCATCATCACCATCATCACCATCACCATATCCATCACCATCATCATCGTCATCATCAGCATCATCCTCAGTGTCATCCTCATCATCGTCCTCAGCATTATCCTCATCCTGCTCCTCCTCCTCCTCTTCAACATCATCAGCATCGTCAGAATCAGAATTAGCATCGTGATCAGCACCAGCATCATCAGCATTATCAGCATCGTCATCCTCATCAGCAGTATCATCATCATCACCATCATCATCAGCAGCATCATCGTCAGCATCATCATCAGCAGCATCATCATCATCAGCATCCTCATCATCATCATCATCATCATCATCATCATCATCATCATCATCATTATCATCATCAATAGCATCGCACGGACCTCGTTGCATATTGCTAATCGCCCCTCGCTCCCCGTCCCCCACGAATGCATCACGCTGGACGCCCCATCGCCCCTCGCCCATTTTCTCACCCCACAAGTTCAGCACCTATGCTCGCTTGCTCTGCTGTCCCATCTCCGCACTGCCACATGGAGCCGAGAAAACGAATGAGGGTCACGACCTGTGCGCTACAAGCAGCTGCATTGGGTTGGGCCCGTCGCAAGGGTAAGTTGTATCAATACTCCTCCACCTCCTCCTCCTCCTCCAAGTCTACCTTCCCTTCCTCAACTTCAAATGTGCATCATCATCATCTCCCCCTCATTTGTTTGGGGCTATTACGCGGATGAGACATAGAGGGGAAGAAAAGAGGAATGGCGTGAATAATCGAACTGGATAGCAAGCAGGATGTGGCTCGGCAAAGGGTAACTGTTAATCTCGCTGTATTTAACCCGCCCAGGGACCCTTCAATCCTGATCCTGATCATCGCCTGCGCCCCATGAACCAGGCCAAGCATCGAATAAGGCGGGGGGAGGATGAGGAGAAGGGAGAAGAGGAGGAGAAGGAGGAACTGCAGCAGCAGAACGAGGAGAAGGAGGATCAGGGGCAGGAGGAAGAGGAGACGGTGGGGAAGAGGAGGGCGGGGGGAATGCGAGGGGGGGGGGGAAACGGAGCCTCCTTGCCTGCGCCAGTGAGCGTGGAGAGGAGGTCGTTGAGGATGTTGGCGTTCGAGTGCTGCCCGTCCGACGCGGGCACGTAGAAGCTGGTCGCCCAGCCTCGCTGGGCCGACCCCCCACCGCCCACGGCGGGTTCGTGCCGTGGCGACCTGCGCGGTGATGCCTTACACCGCGTGAATCGTTCGACCTGGAACGGTCGTGGCTGCCCTCCTCCCCCTCCTCCTCCTCCTCCTCCTCCTCCTCCTCCTCCTCCTCCCTCCTCCTCCTCCTCCTCCTCCTCCTCCTCCTCCTCCTCCTCCTCCCCCTCCTCCTCCTCCTCGTGGCTGCCCGATGGCGCAGATCCCTCGACATCGGCCGACCCACGGGCGGCGTTCCACCTGGAGCGCCCGCGCTGGCGGTCGACGCCACGTCGACGCGACGCGAACCTGCCGAACCTGCGGCAGCGCTGGCAGCGTCGTCCCTCCGTCTCCTCCAACCCCTACGGCGGGTTCGTGTCGTGCCAACCCCAGCGTTGGTTTTTGACACCGCAGGGACCGTTCAAACTTGAACGATCGGCCGCTGCCGCAACGTCCGATCGTTCAACATCGATCGATTCTGGGTCGCCGGCGGCGTTCAACCTTGAACGCCCGCCCTGGGGTCGCCGCTGGTCGACACGACGCAAACCTACCGTACCCCCTTCCCTCGAACCCTCCGTCCACACATGCTCCTCTCCTGCCAACAGGGATCTGCCGTGAGCATTGCAGTGCGTCGTCGTGCCACCGAATATCCGAGCTTCCTGCAGCCGATGGGGCAAATTTGCAGATTGCTTGTTTGGGAAAAAAGCGCCCCTGCACTCGATTACGAGCCAACCATCATAGCATTGTGCTGGAACTTCGTGTGCTTGAGCTTCGGACCAGCCAGCGTCGCACTTGCTTCCAAAATAGGCTTGCCTAAAAGGTTATTGCTTCTCTGTGAAAGGAGCCCGGTGGGTGCGACGTGTAATTCTAGAAGCGAACCCCAGGGCTCCTCGGGTCGCCCCGTTGCCCGGTTGCCCTGCGTTCCTCGGGGTTGCCCAGGGGTGCTCGCTGGCACGGGCTGCCCCATTGCGCAATGCCGAACAATGCCAACTAACGCCGAGAAACGTCAAGCAACGCCACGCAATGCCAAGCAACGGCAATCAACGCCAAGCAACTCAAAGCAATGCCAAGCAACGCCAAGCCACGCAAAGCAATGTCAAGGAACGCAAAGCCAAGCCACAAAATACAAAGCAAAGCCAAGCAACACCAAACAATGCAAGGAAAAGCCACGCAGTGCCAAGCCATGCAAAGCAAAAGCACGCAATGCCAAGCGTGCAATGAGATCCTACAATCATTTGCTGTTGGGTAGTAGTCCCATCGAAGATCGTGACACGCTCGAGTCGTTTTGCCAGGCCGATGCTAACAAGTCCCACGCTCAGGTCCGCTTGCCCAGCATAAACTTACCAATGATGCACTCGGGCCTGATTGCACAGCCCGAGCTGAGAAGTGACATGCTGTGTTGTGATTGCAAGGCAAATTGGGTCCGTGGGGCGACCTGGGAATTTCAGAGGCGGCCCCCAGGGCTCCCAGGGTTGTCCCGTTGCCGGATTGTCCCGTTGTCGGGGTTGCCTGGTGTTGCCCGCGCCCAGGTTGCCTGCTTGCGCAATGCCAAGCAACGCCAAGCAATGCTAAGCAATGCCAAGCAATGCCAGGCAACCCCAAGCAATGCCAAGCAACGCCAAGCAATGCGGGGCCATGTCAATGAATTCCACACAATATCAAGCATTGTGAAGCAAAACAAAGCAAAGCGAAGAAATGCCAAGCAACATTTGTTAGCAACGCCAAGCAACGCCAAGCAGTACAAAGCAATGCAAAGAAATGCTTTGCATTGCATTCATTTGTATTGTTAAGGTATGCTTTGAATTGACCTGGAAGAAAGAAGACCCCTGCTTGGGGTCGCGCCATGTCTATGCTTCTTGCCACCCAGCGTCAACATTGATAGCGGAGCCAGTGCGCTCCAGGCGCCACTAATTGAATAAGCGATGGCTTCAACAGGGGCCTCTGCTGCAGCAGTCACCGAGCAACCCGCTGCTGCTGGTGGCGGCGCACAGCGGACAGCTGCGGATGCAGAATGAGCTTCCGAGATCGTGTCTGGTCGCTCCGAATGCGTAACGAGGCCACAGAACAGCCCCTCACGATGGCGGATGCTTAACGCATCCTACCAGCGAGCAGAACAGGCGTTCACCCGTACTACGGCAAGGCTTTGAGCATGCTGGCAGAGTTTATAGTCGGACAGTCGGTGACGGTGCACAGGTGCCGTATGAGGACGAAGAGCGCCGAAGCAATATGACGACTGCACAACATCATTGGCAATGTACTGGCGTGAATCATCACAGATAAACCAGCCAACTCTTGATGGTGCTTGAGCTAGCTCTATTCAGCCGAAGGAGCAGATGGCCTCAGGCTCGAGTGCACGACTGTTGACTATGTGCACCGGAAGACGGAGCACGAATGCATCAACGACAACTGCAACACGTGGGACACGACCCGACGTCATAGGCAGAGAGAAATCTCGTACACTACCAATAATCCTGTTAGACACCCACGACTTGGCACACATCTCGCGTCGTCACGGCTGCATCGCGCTTGTCCTAGTGTCTTTCCTGGCCGTCGCGGTGACGTAAGATCATCCGTCTACTTCTCCAGTCCCTCGTGGTTAGCATGAACATGTCAAGGTACTCACTCCGCTTCCGCTCGAGATCCAGATCCGCAGTAATTTTGCCCTCGTGACTGCACAAGGTCCCACACATTCTCTCGGCGCTATGTTGAGTTCACGAGTGAACAAACACGAAGTACGGTCGCACCTGGGACAGAAGAACATCCTTCAAGAACATGAGACCATCCGCGAGCCAAACTCAAAAACATTCGAGGACACCCTCCCCCAGGATGCACAAGAACATCCAACAAACACGAAGAACATCAGGGTACCCTCCCCGAGCCGACTTCGATCTTATACCTCGGTCCGACCGTAAAAAACACGCCTCCCCCCCCTCCCCAGAGATCCCGGGTGACCATGCCTCCTCGTCTCCGAGCGGAATGCCACCTGGGTGACGCTCCACCCCACTCCCCGTTCCTTGCGATGGGCGACTGCGCGCACTCTGGCGCACATCCACTGGAATCACGGCCAGACCTAGGACAGAAGAACATCCTCCTAGAACAAGAGACCATCCGCCGGCCAAACACACGTCCAAGGGTACCGTCCCCGGGATGCAGAAGAACATCCGACAAGCACGAAGAACATGAGGGTACCCACCCCGAACTGACCTCGATCATATACCTCGGTCCGACCCTACTCCCCCTCCTGTCATCTCGTCTTCACTCCCGCCGTGGTTATTAACCACGGCGGAAGTGGAGAGACGAGAGAACAGGGCAGGGAGAAGAGAGGGGGAGGAAAGAGCAGGATCAGTCCGCATCGTTCCAGGAAATCGGATCGGATCGGAATGTGCGTGGAATCGAGATGCATTGGGCACTGAGTCGAAATTGAATCGGATCGGCAGCGCCAGGCTACACAACTCCCTGTGCAAGCATCGGGCCGCATAGGACCGCCAGGAGCCCGAAATCGAGTCGGATCGAGCTGGATGAGCTCGGCATCGAATCGGATCGGCCGAATCGAAAGAGGCCCTGAGCGGGAAAGGGGGAAACGAAGGGAGAACAGACAAGTCTTAGACCCAGGGCTCGAGAGGGAAGCCCGCCCTGACGCCTTAGCCAAAGAGCCCTGCCCTCCCCTTCATCCGAGAGCCTCTGTTGCCAATGCGCCCAGTCCGACCGATGCGATGCACGTAGTCGTCTATGTTCCCTGGCAGGTCGTAGTTCACGACGTGGGAAACCTTCTCTCACACTCACTCGCCGTACGCCGTCTGGCGCATGAGCAAAAGAACAGGTGCCAAAAGTCGCGTACGGAAATGGGCGAAGCGCGGCGACAGATGAACAGGGACAGAGGAGCAGGAGAGAGAGAGAGAGAGAGAGAGAAAGAGAAAAAAAAAAAAAAAAAAAAAAAAAAAAAAAAAAAAAAAAAAAAAAAAAAAAAAAAAAAAAAAAAACGAGAGAATAACAACAATTCATCCCACATCAGGGTCGTTCCGGGCTGCACGCGCAGGGGCAAGACTGGCAGATCGTGAGCGCGGCACTGACACGCTGACGGCATTGCGGAAGCGCTTGACGGGACCCACCGCCACACTCATCGCATCCTCCTCACTTCTTGCTCCCTCCCTAATCCCACCAGCCTTTCGGGCAAGGTGGTCTAGCGAGTTCTTTCTTTCCTCTTCCAAAAAACCTCTACGACGACGACAACGGCGACGACGACGAATAAGAGAAGCAAAAAGAAAAGAAAGACGATGAGGGCAAGGACGAGGACAAGGACGAGGACGAGGAGGAGGAGGAGGAGGACAACGAGGACGAGGCCCCAGCTTTCAAAATCGCTTCTTGGAGCCCTCTTGGGACTCTTTTGGGGAATCTTGGGGCCATCTTTGGTTCTTGTGGGGGTCTTGGAGCACTCCTGGGAGCCTCTCGGGGCTCTCTTGGGACCCTCTTGGGGGCCCTGGAGGGCCTCTTGGGGATATCTTGGAGGCTACCGATCAAAGGAGGGGGGGTTCTCGATTTCCGCTGCCACCCCTCTGGGACCATCAAAATTGCCTTGCGGCGCTCTTGGGGCGCTCCTCCTCCTCCTCCTCCTCCTCCTCCTCCTCCTCCTCCTCCTCCTCCTCCTCCTCCTCCTCCTCCTCCTCCTGGTCCTCCTCCTCCTCGTCCCCTTCCACTAGATAACATCCCCATCGCACCCCCAGACGTGTCAGTAGGGGGGACCCAGCGCTTCGCCTGAGACTTCCTTTCCACTTGTTTAACTGAAGCTCGAAGTTTGCAATCATTACAAGGATGGATCAGGTCGTGTTCAAAATTGAGTTATTGCCTTAGCGCAGCGCGCACTCGTCTTGGAAGCTTGCAAAACTGCCAGAATGGACGGGTCTTTCCAAAATGGAGATGTCGAACCGTTAGCGGAGCGCACATTCGTCGTAAAAACTTGCAAATGTTGCAACGATTGCGGGGCAGCATCTTCAAACGTCTTAAAAGCTTATAGCACATACAAGGATGGCAGGGGGGCATTGTCAAAATGGAGTTCTTGCCTCAATGCCGCGCACATTCGTCGTAGAAGCTTGCAGCTATTGCAAGGATGGAGTTTTCAAAAGAGGCACCCCAAGAAGCCCCAAGAGGCCCCAACCCGGCCCCCAAGAGGCCCCAACCCGGCCCCCAAGAGGCCTCAAACTACTTCCCAGAGGCCCACGAGAGGCCAACCACGAGAGCCCAACCAACATCCATGAAGCCTCTGATCCACCACCCAGGCACGGTGGCGGGATGGGCCGAAGGCCAATAGACCTGCTTGGCACGGGGACGGAAAGTGCACTTACTTTCAGAGCGCACGAGATCGCTGGCTCGTCCGCTCTTACACCTCTTATTGACTCCCTTCCCCTCGCTCTTGTCCTATCTCAGCCTCGGAGAGTCGCGGAGCTTTCTTTGAGCGCGTTTCTTGTTTTGGAGGGGGCGGTCGGGTCGCGTTGCGTTTTCCGCGTTTAGGCTGCCAGCTTTCCAGAACCCCGAGTTTTCCTTGCGTGGACCGCTCGTTGTCCACGCGTTGCCGCCCGTCCCTGTGCCCTGGCGTCAAGAACTCATTACGCCGCAGCTCTCTGTTGGGAGCTTTGGTCTTATCAGCTCGATTACGTCACCGCTCGCTCTTGGGAGCCGCGGTGCTAAGAGCCTTTGGGAGTATTTTGGGCCTCTTGGGGGGCTCTTGGGGAGCCTCTTGGGTGCCTCTTGGGGACCTGTTGGGGCTTTTCGGGGGCCTCTGGGGGCCTCCTGGGAGCTTTTGGGTTGCGGGGGTGAAGGGACTAGGCTGCCTGTGGCCGTCTTTGGGCTCTCTCGGAGGCCTTTTGGGGCCTTCTTGGGGCCGTCCTGGCGCCGTCTTGGGCCGTCTTGGCGCCTCTTGGGCCGTCTTGGCGCCCTCTTGGGCCGTTTTGGGACCTTCTTGGGGGCCTCTTGGGCCTTCTTGGGGGGCTCTTGGGGGCCTCTTGGACAGTCTTGGACGCCTCTTGGCCCGTCTTGGCGCCCTCTTGGGCTATTTTTGGGGCCTCTTGGGAACATCTTGGGGCGGTCTTGGGGGCCTCTTGGACCGTCTTCAACGCCATGAAAGGCGAAAAGCCGTATATGCTAAAAATGCACGTTTTCCTTAGGAAAATCAATGATTTTGGCCTCTTGGGGCCCTCTTGGGACGCCTCGTGGGCGCCTCCTGGGGCGTCGTGGAGGCCTCCTGGGACGTCTTGGGGCCGCCTTGGGCGGTCTTGGGCTCTCTTGGAGCGCTCTTGGGCCGTCTTGGGCGCTTCTTGGGCCGTCTTGGGCCGTTTTTTTTTTTCTCATCACGGGGCAGGGCTGCGTGCAGCATCGCTCCTTTGTGCCAGTAAGTACAACCAATACGCCATGCGGCGCGTAGGGGAAATTGGTTATAAAGTTGGATCGCGGCGCGCCAAACGCGCGCAGGAAATAAATATGAATAAAAAGCTTGTCCCTGTGTGCCAGCTTGCCCTAAAATATTGAAACTAGAGATCGTACCCGTCCTCCACGGGGAGTTTAGCACGGGCCTGCGGCGGAACGTGCAGTGGCTCCGCTCCGAGGAGCTTGAATATCTCGTTCAAGTAGAGGCGCCCGGGCACGTCGCTTGGGTGATAGCCGTCTTCGAGCCAGAGACCTCGGCGGAGCTTCTCGTCGGACGTGCTCGATATGAGTTTGTCCATGATTTCGTGGTAATCGATCACGCCGACGTGTTCGAATACCTTGCCCGTGCCGGCCGACCTCCGCATGACGCAATCGTGCATCGTCTCGAAGTTCGCGTGAGTCCACCTCTCGGCGCCCTTGTTCTCTGGAGCAACCTGCGGCGCGGTCCGGAAGACGACCTGGCTCTTAGGAAAGGCATCCGTCACTTTCTTCAGCAAATATGGCACATCCTTATTGCACCATTGTTCTAGTCGCTCGGGCGTGGCTTGATGGCCCGTGAGCTGCCACCAACTTGCCAAATCCCACAGCGAACTCTCGACCACAACCAGGTCTGGTGGCTGTGGCCCGAAAGTGATGTGACCGAAGTTCGGTGCGTCCTCGATGATCTTCCATGTGGGCTCATATTTCCAATGTGCCCCATTGTTGCCCCCATGGTCGGGCAGGGTGTTCTTCGGTATCCGTCGAGGCGGTCCATTACTATGTGCCTGCGTCATTTCGTGCGTCACGCTGGGGTTCCAGAATGGCGCATCCAAATCGCCGTTGAGGCCCACGCCAGGATGACACAAGACCGCGATGCTGACGTTGCGGGCCTGGTCGAAGCACGACATTGTGCTGCACCTTCTCTTGCTTGAAAGTGAAGGTGTCGCCCGGGTAATTGCTCGAAACTGCGTTCCGATCAACGGAAGATCCCACAATCAATACGGATTGAAACGGGCGCCAGCTTGTCCGCGTCAGCTTATCCAGCGCTACTTGTTCCTGAGCAAGAATCTGGCTCAAGGACGTTGCAGCATGGATCCGCAAAAGCAAACCCACACATCTGAGCGTGTAGAAAGCAGAGGCCATGTGAAACACTTCCTGTCTTAATGTGATGCAACAGTTAGAGTAATTCTAAAACTGCCTTGAGCCAAGATGGCTTGAGCCAAAATGGCTACGGACGGGCCGTCTTGGGCCGTCTTGGGCGCCGTCTTGGCCGCTTCTTGGGCTGTCTTAGGCGCCTAAGACGGCCCAAGAAGCGCCCAAGAAACGTTTTCCGATGATGTCTCGAGCGAAACGCTGTTTTTAAGCCCCGAAGGCCGTCCTACTGGATAAAAAACGAGGCGGGAGGGCAATTAGATCCGGGTCTGGCGATGCCACCCCTCGAACTCCCCCAAGTCCAATTTCTTCCGACTAACGGACCGCACGCTAACGCGCGCTTTCCGTCATCCGCCGCCCCCTGTTGATTCATCGCAGGGGTGCCTGGCGTGCTGAATTCTCTCGGTTTGGGTTTTGGTTCTTTTTCCAAAAGAACTCCCCCTGGGGCTCCGGCGCGTCCCGCCGGGGTCCTGGGAGATTCCCGAAAATCCATCTGTCAATGCCTTTGTTGCCCCCAGTTGGCCCAAGATGGCCTCCAAGACGGCCAAGATGGCCCAGGATGGCCTCCAAGATGCCTCCAAGACAGCCAAGATGGCCTCAAAGACGGCTAAGATGGTTCCAAGATGCACCCAAGACAGCCCAAAATGGCCTCAAGATGGTCTACGACGGCCCAAAAGGCCCGCAGAAAGCCTCCAAGACGGCCCAAGAGCCCTCCAAGACGTCCTCCAGGAAGGCCCGAAAATGCAAAAATCATTGATTTTCCTTTTTTATGATTTTCGCATGTTCTTCTTTTCAGCTCTCCGACGGCCCAAGACGGGCCAAGAGGCCTCCAAGATCGCCCCAAGACTGCCCAAGAGGCCTCCAAGATGTTCCCATGACAGCCTAAGAGGCTCCCAAGAGGCCCCCAAGAGTGCATCAAGAGGGCCCAAGCGGCCTCCAAGACGCCCAAGATGGCCTCCAAGACAGCCCTGAGGCGCCCCAAGAAGGTCCCAACTCGGTTCAGAGAGGTCTCCAAGACGGCTTCCGACGGCGTCGGACGGGCCAGGAGCCCACCAAGACGGCCGAAGATGGCCTTAAGATGGCCCAAGACGGTCTAAGAGGCCTCCAAGAGGGCCTCCAGGAAGGCCCGAAAAGGCCAAAATCATTTATTTCCCATGAGTTTTTGAAGGATTGTGGCATTTGCTCTTTGTTCGGCCTTCCGACGGCCCGAGACGGCCCAAGTGCCCCCAAAGATCGCCCAAGACGGCCCCAAGAGGCCCCCAAGACAGCCCAAGAGGCCTCCAAGACGCTCAAGATGGCCTCCAAGACGGCCCAAGAGCCCTCCAAGATGTCCTCCGAGAAGGCCCGAAAGGGTCAAAATGGCCTCCAGACGGCCAAGATGATCTTCAAGATGCCCACGTGTTCCCCGAAGGCGTTCCAAACCGATTCGGAGAACACATGGTCCGATAGCTTGGTAGGTCTGGCTTCAACGTTCGGCCACGTAGGCGCTTCCAAAGGGGTGCCTGGCGTGCTAGATCCTAGACGGTTTTGAGTCATTTAGAAAACTCAATGGGGCGTCGGCCCGTCGCGCCGGCCACCCGAAGAGACCCAAAACTGCACATGGCAATTCCTTTCATACCAAAGATTATCCCAAATTGATTCCAAGATGCCTCCAAGACGGGCAAGATGGCCCAAGATGGCTTCCAAGTCCGCAGAAGATAGTCCAAGATGGCTTCCAAGACGGTCCAAGAGGGTCCAAGATGCCTCCAAGACGGCCCAAGAGGCCTCCAGGAGGTCCTCCACGAGGGCCCGCAGAGTCCAAAATCGCTGGTATTCCTAAGGTGGTTGAAGGATGTTGGCATATGCTTCTTTTCGGCCTTCCGACAGCCCAAGACGGCCAGTCCCCAAGATCGTCCCAAGATCGCCCAAGAGGCCTCCAAGATGGCCCCATGACGGCCCAAGAGGCCCCCAAGACGACTCCATGAGGCCCCCAAGACGGCCCAAGAGCCCAAGATGGCCTCCGAGACGGCTAAGATGGTCTCCAAGATGCCTCTAAGACGGCCAAGATGACCTCCAAGATGGCAAAGATGGCCGCTCTGACGGGCCAGCTGGCCCAAGATGGGCCCGAAAGGCTTCCAAGATGGCCCCAGAGGAGCCCAAAAGATCCTTCAGGAAAGCCTTCGGTTTTTGAAACATCTTGGCTTTTCCTCCGCTTTGTTGCTCCGACCGCCCAAGACGGCCGTAGGAGTCCCCAAAATCGTCCCAGAGGACTCCAAGACGGCTCCAGAACAGTCCAAGAGGCCCCCAAGTCAGCCCCAAGAGGGCCCCAAGACGGCCCAAGAGGCCTCCCCTTTTCTTCTTTCACTCCCCTCTCCTCATTCTCCTCTTCCTCTTCCATGAGTTCCCCAAAGGGTTCCCCAATGGATTCGGGGAACACGTGGTCCGATAATTTGGCCATGCTCTGACGCAAGCTTGTTGATTCATCGCCGCCCCCTGTTGATTCATCACAGGTGTGCCCGACGTGCTGAATGAATCCTTTCGCTTTTCTTCTTGGTTCTTTTTCCAAAAAAAAACTCCCCCCGGGGTTTCGGCCCCGCCCGCCGGGGTCCCGGAATGTCCCGGAAAGAGTGGTTCCAAAGTTTGTCCTGATCCAGATGGCTCTAAGATGGCCTAAGACTGCCCAAGAGGGCCCCAAGAGGCCTCCAAGAGGTACCCCAGGAAGGCCCGAAGAGGCCAAAATAACAGATATTCCTAGGTTTTTTTAGGGATTTGGGCATTTTCTTCTTTTCACCTCTCCGACGGCCCAAGACGGCCCAAGAGGCCCCCATCATCGCCCAAACAGCGCCCAAGAGGCCTCCAAGATGGCTCCATGACAGGCCAAGAGGCCCCCAAGAGGGCCCAAGACGGCCCAAGAGGCTCCCGAGACGCCCAAGATGGCCTCCAAGACGGCCAAGAAGGCCTCCAAGACGGCCTTGGAGCACCCCAAGAGGGCCCCAAGTCGGCCGAGAGAGGCCCTCAAGACGGCATCGGACGGCGTCAGAAGGGCCAAGAGGCTACCAAGACGACCCAGGATGGCTCGAAGATGGCCCAAGACGGCCCAAGAGGCCCCCAAGAGGTCTCCAAGACGGCCCAAGAGGCTTTCAAGAGGTCCTCCAGGAAGGCCTGAAGAGGCCCAAATCATTGATTGTCCTGAGGTGTTTGAAGGATTTAGGAATTTGCTTCTGTTCGGCCTTCCGACGGCCCGAGACGGCCCAAGAGCCCCCAAAGTTCGCCCCAAGATCGCCAAAGGGACCCAAAAGGCCCCCAAGACCGTCCCAAGAGGGCCCCAAGACTGCCCAAGCGGCCTCCAAGACGCCCACGCCCAAGATGGCCCCCAAGACGGCCCTCGAGCACCCCAAGAGTGACTCAAGTCGGCCCAGAGATGAAGGTACGCGTGTCCAAATCAGCGAAGGTACGCTGAGGGTACGCTGAAGCTACGCCGAAGGTAGACAGGCGCGGGGGGGGGAGAGGACAGACCCCCCACTGCCCCCGCTCCCCCAGACCATCGCTACCCCAGACTCCGCGGACCCAGAATCGGGCCACACGCGACGGACCCAGAAACGAACATTTTAAGACGGAGCCGCGCTCCCAAACAAGCCGCTTCTTCTGCTCAAAAAAACGCCGCTTGCCTCCCCCCCGCCCCTCCCAGCCCAGACACCGCGGAATCACAAAGGGGCCACGCACGAGGCCCTCAAGACGGCTTCCGACGGCGTCCGACGAGCCGGGAGGCCACCAAGACAACCCAGGATGGCTCGAAGATGGCCTAAGATGGCCCAAGAGGCCCCCAAGAGGTCTCCAAGACGGCCCCAGAAGCCCCCAAGAGGGCCTCCGAGAAGGCCCAAAGAGACCAAAATCACTGATGTTCCTGAGATGTTGGAAGGATGAAGGAGTTGGGAATTTGCATCTTTTTCATCTTCCGACGGCCTGAGACGGCCCAAGAGCCCCAAAGTTCGCCCCAAGATCGCCCACGAGGCCTCCAAGATGGCCTCAAAACGGCCCAAGAGGCCCCGAAGACAGCCCCAGGAGGGCCCCAAGACGGCCAAGAAGGCCTCCAAGACGGCCTTGGAGCACCCCAAGAGGGCCCCAAATCGGCCCAGAGAGGCCCTCAAGACGGCTTCCGACGGCGTCAGACGGGCCAGGAATGCACCTAAGACAACCAAAGAGGCCCCCGAGAAGCCGCGAAAGGCCCCCAAGAGGCCCAAGGAGGCCCCAAGATGCCTCCAAAAGACTCCCAGGAAGCTCCCAGGAGGCTCCAAGAGTGCCCCTAGAGGCTCCCAAAAGGCCCCCTCCTCCTCCTCCTCCTCTCCTCCTCCTCCTGATTTTCCTGCCATCCTCCCCCAAGTGTTCCCCGACGGGTTTCTACAACGGCTGGGGGAACACATGGCCCGATAGTTTGGCAGAGCCCTTGCCACAACGCTCGGCCACATGGGTAATTCCAAAAGGCAGGGGGCGGTGATGATTTGTCGTAGGCATCTTCGATAATCAACAACCCCACCCGGCAGCACCGCATTGACCACGATCACTCGGGCAAGTCGGAGCGCTCCAATTGGCAATCGTCGAACGATCGGTCCGAGACACCCACGATGGCTTCCAGACGGCCCACGACGCGCACAAGACCCCCGAGGAGGCCACCAAGAGGCCTCCCAAGAGAGCCCCAAAAGGCAGAAATGAACGATTTCCTGTGCGTGTTTCAGCGAAATTGCTGTTCTCGCCTTGTCGGCTTCCCGGGGCTCGCAGACGGCCGAAGAGGCTCACAAGATCGCCACAAGAGAGCCCAAGAGGCCCCCAGGAGGAGCCCAAAACGCTCCAGGAGGAGCCCAGCCGCCTAACGGCACCGCATTGACAACAACACACCGACAGACGACAGCGGCGAGGCAATATGGGCCAGCGGAATGAGCGAAGCGATTACATAACAAGGTATCCCAATACCCTGCTCGCTCTGGCGGGGCCTCCCTGGAAGGTTAGGAGGGGCAGGAAGCATTGTAAACAGTACGCATTTCGATGCCATCCTCGCTCTGGCGGGGCCTCCCTGGAAGGGTGGGTAGGGCATGAAACCTTGCAATCATAGTATTCCAATACCCTTGTCGCTTTGGCGGGGCCCCCCTGGAGGGGTGGGAAGGGCAGGAAGCCTTGCAAATAGCATGGTATTTCGATACCCTTCCCGCTCTGGCGAGGCCTCCCTGTGCGGGCGGGAAGGAAGGAAACCTTGTAGATATTTTGGTATTCCGATGTTGTCCTCGCTCTGGCAGGGCCTCCCTGGAGGGGTGGGAGGGGCACGAAGCCTGATAACTGATAAATAGCATGGTAACCCGATGCCGTCCTCGCTCTGGCAGGGCCTTCCTGGAGGGGCGGGGCCAGATACCCTCCTCGCTCTGGCGGGGCCTCCCTGGAGGGGTGGGAGCGGCGCGAAACCGAATGAATAACCTGGTTTCCCTATACCCTGCTCAAAAACATGGTTTTCCCACTACCCTGCTCGATCTGGCAGGGTTTCCCTGGAGGGGTGGGAGCCCAAGAAGCAGCAGCAGAGGACGAGGGAGGAGGCAGGAGACGGAGGAGGAGGAGAGGGGGCACTCCAGGAAAACAAAAACCCACTCAGGATGTGAGGAGCAATACAAAGTGGTCGCGGGGCCTACGTGCATGACCCAAGAGTTCTCCCCAAACGTACTTTGTATTGTTTTCCTGACAAGAACGGGGGGGGGGCATGGGTGCCCGCATGGGTTCGGGTTCGCTGCCAGTCGCCAGGGGGAGGGAGAATTGATCCGCCTCCGTGCCGCTGGACACGGAATGGGCCCGGAGGGCCCCAAAGCCCTGCAAACGAACCGCCACACAAAAGGGTACCGACATGGTCCCAAGGAAGGGCCTGCTCGGCCTGCTCGCGAGTTGTTTTCGTCGAGCGGCTGTACTCTATCTGAGCGTCTTTCCTGAATGAGCTGGTGGGGCTACTTTTTGGTCTGCGGGCTCGCGGACCAACTCGAAAGCCGTCCGAACACTAGCCGGGCCGCGACTAGGCAGAAAAAAAGGGAGAGCCAGCGAAGCGAGCGCGCGGGCAGCCACTCAGAAGGAGGACCAGAAACGGCACTCCCAACCTGGTGGCGTGGAAATACCTGTGGCGATCATCAAGTAGGCGCAGCCACAATGGCGCAGCGGCGCGACCATGAACACGCATAGGACGATCACCCGGCGTGAGTCGGCGAGGCCCGACAAAAACGAGCAGGTCCGACAGGCACACCAGGACGACATCCGTGCCGTGGGAGACACAACAGCCTCGTGTCAGCGCCGGAGTGACGAAGGGGCAGCCTCGTCACAAACAAGACTACAAACGGCAGATACTCTCGTATGTACACCCGGTGGCACAGGTCGAAAGCGAAGTCCACGTAGTAGAAAACAGCCGACGGGCGCCCAGAGCCACACATGCCGAAGTCCATGCACCGAAGAGGACGGCAGCGTAGCGAGACCCCACGGAACCCAAACGGTCACCAGTGGAGGCTGACGCCAAGCAGGAGCAGGCCAGGGGCCACCTGACCGCCCATCCCCAGCGTGGTCCTTGCATGGAATTCGAAGCGAGACCTCACGGAACCCTCCCGGTCACCAGTGGAGGCCGACACCAGCCAGGAGCAGGTCAGGGGCCACCTGACCAGCCGTTTCCAGTGTGAACCTTGCATGGAATTCAGGCTGTCAGATCACCATCAGACAGCGGCATTGGCGGACAACCCCAGCCGCGCGGGATAAACCCGGTGAAACGAAAGAGAGGAGGGGAAGTGCACGCCAGGCACGGTAGGCAACCCGTCGCGGCAGCAAACCGCTGCGGCAATAGGAAGCAGGAGACGCGAGCATCGGAGCCCACTGAACCCTTTCGGCCATCAGCAGGGAGGGGGGGGGGCGTCGGCCTCAGGCAGCCAGTAGGCACCGCACCACCCAGTCCCGGTGTAACGCTTGATCCCAGGGCGGCGGGGTGTTCCCAGGGGTCGTGTTGCCAGCGGGTTGTGTTGGACGGTCAGCAGGGCTCTCTCCGTCTTCGCCCCGCCCCTCACCCTGCGACTCGCGACTATCTTCACACTCTTCCCGGTGGAAGCGACTGACCGTCGCGGAGGCAATTGGAACCCGAGGCGGCTGGGTGTTCCCAGAGGTCGCGTTGCCAGTGGGATATGTTGGACGGTCGGCAAGGACCTCCCTGTCTTCTCCCTGCCCTTCTCCCGTGGCTCGCGATCCGTTTCGCAATCTTCCCGGTGTAGGTGAACGATCAAGTCAGAGCCCGTTGGAATCCGAGGCGGCTGGGCGTTCCCAGGGGCCGCGTTGCCAGCGGGTTACGTTGGACGATCAGCAAAGTCCTCTCCGTCTCCTCCCTGCCACTCACCCTGCGACTCGCGACTATCATCACATTATTCCCAGTGGCGGCGACTCCCGGACTTCTCCTCCTGCGATTCATGACTATCTTCGCGCTCTTCCCGGCGGGGGCGACTCGTTTCGCAATATTCCCGGGGTAGGCGACTAGCCGTCGCATCTCGAGGAACAGCGACGTGCTGCACGACCCCGTCGTGCTGGAGCCCGCGGTACTCATACCCGTTGTGCTCGTCAACGTCGCGCTGCTAGCCCCACTGGTGCTTGTTGCCGAGCTGCTTGTCTCGGCGGCGTGGGCCCGCGACGTGCTGCCCGAGCCTGTGGCGTTCGACCCAGGTGCACGTCGGCGGCGCGCCGCAAGTCCCACTGGCGCTCGCAGCCGCGCTGTGTGACTTAGTTCTGCCCGTCAACGACGCGCTGCCCGACCTCGTTGTGCTTGAGCCCGTGGTGCTAGACCCCGCGATGCTAGTCGGCGTCGTGCTGCACGTCTGGCTGGCGCACGCTTCCGCGCTGCAAGTCGCTGTGTCGGCTGTGCTCGTCGGCGAAATGCTGCTCGACCGCGCCGCGTTGGACCCCGCGCTGCACGACGCCGTTGCGCTGGACAAAGCGCGCTGCACGTCCCCCGAGTGCTCGTTGCCGAGCTGCATGTCTCAGTGGTGATGGACAGCGACTCGCTGCAGGATTCTGCCGTGCTACAGCTGGTTGTGCTCGTCAGGGCCGTGCTGCTGGTCTCTGTGGTGCTCGTCGCCGTGCAGCGCGTCTTGGTGGTGCACGTCGGCGACGTGCTGCTCGGCACTGTGGTGCCCGGTCCCGCGGTGCTCGCCACCGTCGCGCTGCTCGACTAACCAGCGCTCATCGCCGTACTGCTTGTCTTGGTTGCGCAAGTCAACGACGCGATGCTGGACTCTGTTCTGCTGAAGCCTGTAGCGCTAGATTCCGTTGTGTCGGTCCTCGTCGTGCTCCTCGTCTCACTGGTGCCCATCGTCGAGCAGCTAGTCTCAGTTGCGCTGGTCAGCGACGTGCTACTGGACTCAGTAACCGGAGCCTGCGGCAATGGCCAAGGGGACAAGGGGCAAGGCAGTCGGTCGCACACCGTGCTGCTCGACGAGATGCTGCTGGCGTCCGTATTGCTGGATAAGGTAGTGCTGCTCGACTCGGTCGTGCTGCCCACCGTGGTGCTGCTCAGCGTAGTGCTGCTCGTCATTGATGCGCTGCTCGATTCAGTGGTACTCGTCAGACGGATGCTTGTGCTGCTCGACTCGCTCGTGCTGGTCAACTGGTGCTGCTGACTTGTACTACTTGAGTCGGTCGTGCACGTAAGTGAAGTGCTACTCGATTCTGATGTGCTGGTCAGTGATGTGCTGCTTGATTCAGTCGTTGTAGTCAGCGGTAATGCACGACTCAGTAGTGCTGCGCAGCGTGGTGCTGCTTGATTCTGTCGTGGTGCTGAGTGTCGTGCTGCTTGGTTCCGAGGTGCTCGAGTCGGACGTGCTGGACAGGGAGGCGCTGTTCGATTCTGTGGTGCTCGAATGAGGAGTGCTGGCGAGCCTGGTACTGCTTGTCTTTGTGGTACTGGACCCCGTGGTGCTTCACTCAGTAGTGCTTGTCAGCAACGTGCTGTTCGACCCCGTGTTGCTCGACTCGGTCGTGCTGGTTAGTGGCGCACTGCTCGACTCTGTGTGACTTGAGCCAGTCGCGCTGGTCAGCGAAGTACTGCTCGACTCCGTAGCGCACGACTCGGACGTCCTGGGCAGCGACGCACTGCTCGATCCCGCGGTGCTCGACGCAGTCGTGCTGGTCAACGAAGTGCTGCTTGAATCTGTGGTACTTGAGCCGGTCGTGCTGAACAACGAGGTACTGCTCGACTCTGTGGCACTGGAGCCAGTCGTACTGGTCTCGGTCGTGCTGGTCAGCGGGGTGCTGCTCGACTCCATGGTACTGGAGCCGATCGTACCGGTCCCAGTCGTGTTGGTCAACGACGCACTGCTCGACTCTGTAGTGCGTGAGCCGTGCTGGTCAGCGAAGTGCTGCACGACTCTGTGGTTCTTGAGCCAGTCGACTGGTCTCGGTCGTGCTGGTCAGCGAAGTACTGCTCGACTCTGTGGTACTTGAGCCACTTGTACTGGTCACGGTCGTGCTTGTCGGCGAGGTGCTGCTCGACTCTGTGGTGCGCGAACCCGCAGTGCCGGACTCGGTGGTGCTGGTCAGCGAGGTACTGCTCGACGACGTACTGCTCGATTCTGTGGTACTTGAGCCGGTCGCGCTGGTCAGCGAGGTGCTTTTCGAAACGCAGCTGACCGCTGCAGCAATAGGAGATGAAGGCGCATGGACAGACATGGAGCGCAGCTGGCCCTGGCAGCTCGGGGATAGTAAGGGGAGAGGAAGGGAAGTGCACGCCAGGCACGGAAAGCACCCCGGTGTGGCAGCTAAACGCTGCAGCGTAGGACAACCCGATGCGCCGCAGCCACGGCGCGGCGAAGGACTACCTGGCGCGGGGGGGGCAGCACGCCAGGCTGGCCCCCAGGGCCGCGGTAGGCACTCCAGGCCTCAAGTGGACCGGGTCAGCGTAGGCGGGAGCCCCAGTGCGCCCCGCGCCCACGGGAACGTAGACCGACGTGCTCTCGTGCCCGGCGCGAGCACGCATGAAATCGACGATGACGTGCATGGGTGAAATGTAGGGCTGGGCTCTGCCTTTGCCAAGCTTCTTGTAGTCGATACTGTATACTGCGCCACTCCCACTGTGCAAGGTTTCCCGGGGACGAGCGAATGACGCCCCGAACGCGCTCGCTAAGAGAACGGCGGCTCATCGTGGTGAGCGCCATTTCGAAATAGTCGCGGCAGCCTGGGCGTTTCCCTGTGAGCGCTAGGAACCGGCGGAGGACGCCAGGCTCGTGGCGCACGGGATCGCAGGTGCCAGGGCCCCCATCGCCTTGCAGGCGCGACAGGAATCACGCCACTGGTGTGCCCCCCCATCCTTTGCCACGCCTTGACCCGCTCCACGAGGGCCAGCGGGTCGTCCGCGAGCGCCACGCCCCCCGACGACTCGTCAGGCGACTGCTCCGCTGCTTGGCCCGCGCCCAGCTCTGCGCTCGCACGAGACCCGCTAGCATCGGGGGGCGAGGGCATAGTAAGCGACGCGTCAAGGCCCGCCCCGTCTCCACGGGCAGGCGGCACGCACGGGGACGGCTGGGCCAGCGCAGTTCGGACACTGAGTCGCCATCGGCTGGAGGAGTCAGCGACGGGCGACGGCTGGGAGCCCCCGTCGCAATTTTCCCCGCGCGCGTGAACCATCGTCGCAGAGTCCGTTGGAATCCGAGGCGGCTGGGTGATCACAGGGGTCGCGTTACCAGCGTTTGTGTTGGACGGTCGGCAAAGTCCTATCTGTCTTCTCCCTGCCCCTCACCCTGCGACTCGCGACGATCATCGCATTCTTCCCGGCGGCGGCGACTGACCGTCGCAGAATGCATTGGAATCCGAGGCGGTTGGGTGTGCCAAGAAGTCGCGTTGCCAGTGGGTTGTGTTGGACGGTCGGCAAGGACCTCCCTGACTTTTTCCTGTTCCTCCTCCTGCGATTCGCGACTAGCTTCGTGCTCTTCCCGGTGGAGGTGACCCATTTCGCAATCTTCCCGGCGTAGGCGACTAACCGTCGCATCTCGAGGAATCACAGCGGGTTTGGTTGGACGGTCGGCAAAGTCCTCTCTGTCTTCTCCCTGCCCCCCGCCCTGCGACTCGCGACTATCATCGCATCCTCCCTGGCGGCGGCGACTGACTGTCGCAGAATGCGTTGGAATCCGAGGCGGTCGGGTGCGCCAAGAGGTCGCGCTGCCAGTGGGTTGTGCTGGACGGTCGGCAAGGACCTCCCTGACTGCTCCCTGCTCCTCCCCCGGCGATTCGCGACTATCTTCGCGCTCTTCCCGGCGGAGGCGACCCATTTCGCTATCTTCCTGGCGTAGGCGACTTAACCGTCGCATCTCGAGGAATCATGGGCAGGGAGAGAAGAGAAAAGTCAGTCTCAGGGGAAACGCTCGAGTCGCTGGCAGGGGAAGTAGGACGAATAGGGGCGAAAGGGCTTCTCGAAACCAGCTTAAGGATGGCTGCGCTGCCCCGCTCGTCAGGGGGGCTGACGCGCGGGCGCGGTGGAACTTCCCAGTGCCGTCTGGAGAGTGGTTTCACTGTCGGGCTGGCCCTCGCGTTGGCCGTCGGGCTGGCCGTCGGGCTGGCCGCGGGGCTGGCCGCGGGACTCGGCGTCAGGCAAGGCCTCAGGTAGAGTGTTGGGTAGGGCATCGGACTGGTCGGACCGGCCGCGGGGCTGGCCGCGGGGCTGGCCGCGGGGCTGGTCGCGGGGCTGGCCGTCGGGCTGGCCGTCAGGCTGGCCGTGGGGCTGGTCGCGGGGGTGGCCGTGGGACCGGCCGTGGGACTGGCCGTGGGGCTGGCCGTCAGGCTGGCTGTGGGGCCGGCAGCTGGGCTGGCCGCAGGGCCGGCCAAAGGGCTGGCAGTCGGGCTGGCCGTGGGTCTGGCCATGGCGCTGGCCGCGGGGCTGGCAGTCGGGCCGGCCGCGGGGCTGGCAGTCGGGCTGGCCGCCAGGCTGGCCGCGCGGCTGTCCGGGCTGGCCGTGGGCCTAGCCGTGGGGCTGGCAGTCGGGTTGGCAGTCGGGCTGGCTGCGGGGTTGGCCGTGGGGCTGGCCGTGGGGCTGGCCGCGGGGCCGGCAATCGGGCTGGCCACGGGGCGGGCCGTGGGGCTGGCAGCCGGCCAGGCCGTGGGGCTGGCAGTCGGGCTGGCCGTGAGGCTGGTCGCCAGGCTGGCCGTGATGAGGCTGGTCGCCAGGCTGGCTGTGGGACTGGCCGTTAGCTGGCCGTCGGACTGGCCGTGGGGCTGGCAGTCGGGCTGACCGTGGGCCTGGCAATCGGGCTGGCCGTCGGGCTGGCCGTGGGGCTGGCAGTCGGGCTGGCCGCGGGGCTGGCCGTGGGGCTGGCCGCGGGGCGGGCAGGCCAAAGGGCTGGCCGTCGGGCTGGCCGTCAGGCTGGCTGTGGGGCAGGCTGGGCTGGCCCTGGGACTGCCCGCAGGGCTGGCAGTCAGGCTGGCCGCGGGACTGCCCGTGTAGGGCTGGCAGTCGGGCTGGCCGTCGGGCAGGCCGTGGGGCTGGCATTCGGGCTGGCTGCGGGGCTGGCCGTGGGGCTGGACGTCGGGTTGGCCGCGGGGCTGGCCGACGTCGGGCTGGCCGTGGGGCTGGCCGTGGGGCTGGCCGCGGGGCTGGCCGTCGGGCTGGCCGTCAAGCTGGCCGTCGGGCTGGCCGCGGGGCTGGCCGGGCTGGCCGTCAGGCTGGCCGCGGGGCCGGCCGCGGGGCTTCCAGTCGGGCTGGCCACGGGGCGGGCGGGCTGGCCGTCAGGCGGGCCGCGGGGCGGGCAGCCGGGCAGGCCGTGGGGCTGACCAGCAGGCTGGCTGCGGGGCTGGCAGCCGGGCAGGTCGTAGGGCTGGCAGTCGGGCTGGCCGCAGATCTGGCCGTCGGGCTCGCCGCGGGGCGGGCCGTCGGGCAGGCCGCGCGCCGCCGCAGCGGCGCCGGCCATCGCGCCCTCCGCCGTCGCCGCCGCCGCTGGCGAGGAGCCGGCAACAGCAGCGGCAGCGGCGGCAACGGCGGCGGAGGAGACGGCGGCCAACCCAGCTCGAGCCCAGGCTGGGGCCAGCGCAGGGGGGCCGTGGCACCAGCAGCGGCGGCCGCCGCCGCCGGCCCACGCGAGGAGGCCGCGGCGGCGAACGCGGCGGCGAACGCGGCGAGCAGAGAGGGGGCGGCGGCGACGGAGGCGCACGGGGCCGCCAGCATGTCCGCCAGCGCCGACGGCATCGGCGCCGGCAGCGGTCCAGCGCCCGGGGGCCGCGCTGGGGCGGCCGGCGGCCGCCGCGGCAGCGCCAGCCGCCGCGGCAGAGGCAGCCAAAGCGGCTGCGGCAGCCGCCGCGGAGGGGGCAGCAGGAGCAGCCGCCACGCCGGCGGCGCCAGAGGCCGAGCTGGCAGCCGCCGCGGCCGCCGCGCGAGCAGCCGCGGCAGCGGCCGCAGCGCCCGCGGCCGCGGCAGCGGCGCGGGCAGCGGCCGGCCCCAGGGCGGCCGCGCCGGCCACGGCGGCCGCAGCGCCAGGCGAGCATGCAGCGGGCCGCGGCGGCGGCAGCCGCGTCGGAGGCGGCCGCGGCGGCAGCGGAGCCCACGGCGGGGCCGGCGACCGCGGCGGGGAAGGCGGCCGGCCACTCGGACCCAGGGGCCGTGGCCGAGCGGCGCGCGGCCCTGGCGGTGCGGGTGGTGACTGGGAGCAGCGGCAGGCGGGGCGGCAGCACCGCGGCGCCGGCCAGAGCCACGCCGGGGGCGCGAGCGGCGGCCGCACGACGAAGCCGACGACGCCGCGCCGTGGGCGCCTCGACGCAGCCGCCACGCGGGCAGCGCGAGCGGCAACAGCCCAGCGCCACCACCACCACAGGGGACGCCATCGCCCGGTGGCGACGCCGAGAAGGGAGGGAGACGAGACACCCCGTCCAAGCCGCCGATGGAGGCCCGCGGGCGCGCCCGCCAGGCCGCGGGACCCAGGCCGAGCAAACCACCTCGGGCCGAGACGGTTTGAGCCAAAAGACTTGAGCCAAAAGGCTACGGACGCTGGTGGGGTTACGCGAAACGTCAACCATGTCCTCTACCCCTCTGGAAGAGACGCGAACGCAGAACAGATGATTCGCTCCTGGATCTGCTCAGGTCAATCCTCAGCTTCCGGACTGGCGACCCCCTCCCGACTGTTCCACCCCATGCTCCTGCAATTCCAAGATCAGGGTAATCATAATGGGCGTCGTGTCTGAATGGGCTGGTGGGGATACGCGAAGAGCGGAGATTCACACTAAACGAATATCTCATATCCCCCCTGATGCTGTCTGCCCTCCCCCGCCTATTCCACAAGCTGTGCCTTTACACAGTAGTTTCCCGACTTGGCTTTCGATGTGGCTTAATTCCAAGTCATAACGTCTTGGGCATTTCACACATTGTGTTCCCACTGCAGTGTTGGCCGAATTTCAGGATCGGCGCCTTGCTCCCGTCGTTCAAACTTGCGGTCTCGCACCATTGCGGGCCACATTTCTGGATTCGGTTCCTTCCCCGTCGTTGTCGTCATCCTCTGTTTCCCTTCTCCGCATTCCCCTGGTCATCCTGCTCATCCTGCTTCTGCTGCTCCTCCTCATTATTTCTCTTGATCCTGCTTATACTCCTGCCCATCCGCCGCCCGCCGCCACCGCCTCCCTATCGTCCTTGTCCAGCGTGCAAAGCCCTCCGTTCTGATTGCGCATCGCACTGCGCATGGGATCACCTGGGGGATCAGAGCCATCTGACCATTGGGACACCCCAGCCGGCGGATGGAAAAGAATTCAGCGCAGTGGGAAGGGATGGGCGGGGGAAGGGGAGGATGCCAAATATGGCGTGAGCGCACCCGGCCTGCCCTCCCTCCCCCCCCTACCCCCTGCTGCCCTAGGAGGAGGAGGAGGAGGAGGAGGAGGAGGAGGAGGAGGAGGAGGCGGAGGCGGAAAAGGAACGATCGCCCACTCCTTCAGCCGTGTGGCATCCCCTCCGCCCCTCACGATCGGCCTCCCCTCCCCTCCCGGGGGGGAGGGGGAGCCTCGCGTCGCACGGTGGGCAGGCCGTGGGCACGCACCCTGGGCCGCGCCCTGGTCACAACCCGAGCTGGGCACCGAAGGTGGAAGATTGGCGTGCGCGGCGGGGATTTATCCATGTCCACCGCCTGGGCGGTGCCCCAGCGGGCGGTGGACATGGATATGTTTCGGCCCCCGTAGGGCCCGAATGTGTCCATGTCCACCGCATGCCGAGGCTCCGAAGACTGACCCCAGGCGGTGGACATGGATGAATTCTCGCCTCGGATGGCGGCGCGCCGACGCGCGGGATGCGAGAGAGGGAGGGCATTCTCCGAGGGCGGCGGGGCTTCTCGGAGGCCCTCGCGCCTGCTGAGAGGTGCCCCCGTGCCTTCGGAGAAGGCTTGGAGCGCTCCTCGGAACTGTGCGCAGGCCTTCGGAGCCCTCTTGAAGGCCGGCCCTTTCCTGCCTTCGCCGCGGGGTGCGCCACCGAGAAGAAAAGACCACCTCCACCTCGGACGCTGGGCCTTCGGGATGTCAAGCCCGCGGGCGGCCACGTCGGTCGCGACCAGGAACCGGCACCTGATGGGCAGGGGAGGAGGAGGAGGAGGAGGAGGAGGAGGAGGAGGAGGAGGAGGAGGAGGAGGAGGAGGAGGAGGAGGAGGAGGAGGAGGAGGAGGAGCCCCTGCCCATCGAAGGATCTCCCCTGAGGGGAGATCCTTCGAGTCGGTCGGCAGAACACGCTGCGAGGGGCGGGAGACTGTGCCGGAGTCCAGAGGGTGCGCGAGCAGGCGGGGGCGGCCACATCGCTGACGATTTCAGGTCGCGGCATCAAAAAGCTGCTCAAAGCATGACTTGGGCGAGGAAGAGCCCCAGCTCAAAGCTGTGAACTGAACATGACACGCTGTCCATGAGAAGAAGCAGGCAAAGTTCGGAACAAGGGACAGGGCGGGGGAGGGGGTTGGCCCCGCGTGGCTCGTAGGCCTGGGCCAGCCAGAGGGCATCGGAAGGAGTTGGCCGATCCCCGTTGATGCCGAGCCCCGCCGCTGGAGGTCTCCCACACGGGGTCCGAGCAGACGGGGTCGGGCGATCGCACCACATCACAAATGCATAGCTGGTGCATCGGCGCTGTCGGCGTGCAGAATATCGGGCTCCACATCGGGCCACATCTCGGGGATCTTCTGACACGGGTCAATCCAGACCCGGGTCAGCATGAAACCAAAAAACTGCAATGCAGGAAGAACAACTGCAACGCAGGTCTTCGCCAAACCCGGGCCAGCCGACATGCGCGACCACCTCGCGGCCACGAGCGGCTCGCTGACCCGGGTCAGCCAGAGGGGGTCTTCGCAGGATCCTGCAGGATCCTGTGCCCTGGCTAACCCCCGTTTGCAGTGACCCCGTCTCTTCGGGAGCGGCAAAGAGGGGGGTGTCCAAGAGGGGGGGGTGCAAATCATGACCGGCGGCATGTGCGCGGCCCAGCGGGGGGGGCAGGGACGTAATGAAATAAGAAGAGGCGCCATGAAATCTGGGGAAAAATCATGGCCCGCGCCATGAAATCCACCCCCCCCTAGTCATCACCCCCCTCTTTTCCGCTCCCGATCTCTGGGTTCTGGGCCACAGCTCGGGCCTCAGGCGGGCGCGCGGGGCGACCCCTGCATCCCAGTAACCCCCTCCGCACGAGGCGCAGGCGCCTACGACGGCGGCAGCGACAATGGCGACGACCACGACGGCGACGCTAACGGCAGCGACGACGGCGACGACCACGACGGCGACGACGAACACGACGGCGACGACGGCAGCGACGACGGCGACGACGGCGACGATCACGACGGCGATGGCGACGACGGCGGCGGCGGCGATGGCGACGACGACGGCGGCGGCGGCCACGGCTAAGCCCCGACACAACGCCGACGAATCGAGCCCCCGGGCCTCCTCCCGGCCCCCCCCCCCCGCTCCCGAGAGCACCGCCCCGCCCGGAAGTCCGCCAGCGACCTCTCCCGCTCGGGCTGCTCCATGTCGCCGTGGATGGCCCGCGCGCGGTAGCCCTGCGGCTCCCTCCTTGGGCGAGCAACGACATATGTACATGTACGCCCTCCGCGGTCTTGCCTGCACGAACGTCCGCGTCGACACGCACTCCAGGGGAAACTAACCGCGTACGTGTACATATGTTGCCGGCCTCTGACCTCCTCCCTCCCCGCTCCCGAGAGTTCTGTGGGTGCGCTGCCCAGGCACAGGCCGCAGAGGAGCTGCTGCGCCCATGCCACGGGAAAGGGAACACGAGCCCGACTCGTGCGGCGCGGTCGCGATACAGAAGAATAAACATGCCCTGCTCCTCTTGCGGCTCCTCCGCCTCCTCCTGCAACTCCTGCTTATCCTGTTCCTCCTCCTGCCCCCGGTGTTCCTCCTCCTCCTCCTCCTCCTCCTCCTCCTCCTCCTCCTCCTCCTGTTCCTCCTCCTGCTCCTCCTCCTCCTCCTCCACCTCCTCCTCCTCCTCCTCCTCCTCCTCTCCTCCACCTCCCCCTTCCTCCTCTTAATCCTCCTCCTCCTCCTCCTCCTCATCCTACTCCTCCTCCTCCTCCTCCTCCTTCTCCTCCTCCTCCTCCTCCTCCTCCTCCTCCTCATCATCATCATCATCATCATCATCATCATCATCATCATCATCATCATCATCATCATCATCATCATCAGCAGCATCATCATCATCATCATCATCATCATCATCATCAGCATCATCATCATCATCAACATTATCATCGTCATCAGCAGCAGCATCATCAGCATCATCAGTATCATCATCATCATCATCAGCATCATCATCATCATCATCAGCATCATCATCATCATCATCATCATCATCATCATCATCATCCTCATCCTCATCATCATCTTCATCCTCGTCCTCGTCCTCATCCTCATCATCCTCATCATCCTCATCATCCTCATCATCATCAGCATCATCATCATCATCATCATCATCATCATCATCATCATCATTATCAGCATTATCATCACCGACACCACCACCATCATCATCATCAGCAGCAGTAGCATCATCATCAGCAGCAGCAGCATAATCATCTCCATCATCACCATCATCATCAGCAGCCGCAGCAGCCATCATCATCATCATCAGCAGCAGCAGCAGCATCAGCATCATCATCAGCGTCATCATCAACAGCAGCATTATAATGATAATGATAATAAAGATCCTGGTCGTCAGCGTCATCAACATGATCATCATCATCATCAGCATCATCGTCGTCATCGTCATCGTCATCATCCATCATCATCAGCATCATCATCATCCACATCATCATCATCATCATCATCATCATCATCATCATCATCATCGGCATCATCATCATCCGCATCATCATCACCATTAGCAGCATCAGCATCACCAGCATCATCATCATCAGCATCGGCATCAGCATCAGCATCAGCAGCAGCAGCAGCAGCAGTATCAGCATTATCATCATCATCACCATCAACATTATCATCGTCATCATCAGCATCGTCATCGTCATCATCGTCATCCTCACCACCATCAGCATCATCATCACTATCATCGGCATCGTCATCATCATCAGCATCATCAGCTTCATCATCAGCATCATCATCAAAATGATCAGCATCTTCATCGTCAGCTTCATCATCATCGTCATGAGCATCAACATCATCAGCATCATCATCATCGGCAACATCCTAATTCCCAGCCTCATCCTCATCCTCATCCTCATCCGCATCCTCGTCCTCCTCTTCATCATCATCATCAGCATCAGCAGCATCAACATCAGCATCAGCATCACTCTCATCCTCATCCTCATCATCCTCATCATCGACATCAGCATCATCATCATCACCACCACCGTCACCAGCATCATCATCAACATCAGCATCATCATTATTATCAGCATCACCAGCATTATCATCATTAGCATCATAAGCCTCACCATCATAATCATCATCAGCATCATCATCAGCACCATCCTCCTCATCACTCATCACCATCGTCAACATCACCATCATGATCATCAGCATCATCGTCGTCATCGTCAGCAGCAACAGCATCATTATCATGACCAGCAGCATCATCGAAATCATCACCATCACCATCACCACCACCACCATCATCATCATCATCAGCAGCATCATCATCATCATCATCATCATCATCATCATCATCATCATCATCATCATCATCATCATCATCATCATCATCATCATCATCATTATTATCATCATCAGCAACAGCATCGTAATCATAATCATAATCAGCATCATCATCACAATGATCAGAATCATTATCACATCATCATCGTCATCATCATCGTTGTCGTCGTCGCCGTCATCGTCATCATCATCATCATCAACAGCAGCAGCAGCATCACAGGCCTCATCATCAGCTTTGGAATCAGCATCAGCATCATCATCAGCAGCAGCAGCAGTGTCAGCATCATCATCACCTAAAGCACCATCATCAGCATCATCATCGTCATCGTCGTCATCAGCATCAGCATCATCACTATCATCGCCAGCAGCAACAGCAGCATCATAAGCAGCATCATCAACATCATCATCATCAAAATCATCACCAGTATCACGACCAGCATCATCATCATCATCATCATCATCATCATCATCATCATGATCATCACCATCAGCACCAACATCATCATCAGCAGCAGCATCATAATCCTTATCCTCATCCTGATCCTCATCCTCATCCTCGTCCTCCTCCTCATCAGTCGCAGCATCAGCATCAGCATAATCCGAATCATCATCCTCATCATCCGCATCATCATCAACATCGGCATCATCATCACCACCAAAACCATCACCACCAGCATCGTCGTCATCAGCAGCGTCATAATCATAATCATCAGCATCCTCATCACTATCACCAACATCATCGTCGCTACCATCATTATCATCATCACCAGCAGCTGAATGATCGCCATCATCATCATCATCATCATCATCATCATCATCGTCGTCATCATCATGGTCATCATCAGAATCAGCATAATCGTCATCAGCATCAACATCAGCATCATCATCATCCACATCATCATCATCATCATCATCATCATCATCATCATCATCATCATCATCATCATTAGAGCGATCAACATCATCACCATCATCACATTCTTCTGTATATCCGTCAAAATTCCTATTCATAAAATGCCTCCCTTCGCCGGGCCCCCCAATCTCAATCCAGCGGCCCCCTTTTCCAGAGGACGCATGCGGACGGTCCCACTGGGGGCTTCGGCGGAGCTCCCTATGGTGCCACGAAACGCTGTACTGGGTGGGTGAAAATGCCAAATTGGGTTTCCGTGACGCACGCGGACGGTCCAGGGCTTCGGTGGAGCTCCCTATGGGGCAACGAACGCTGTACTGGGCTGGCGAAATTTCCACATTGGGCTTCCGGGACGCATGCGGACGGCGGTCCCACTGGGGCCTTCGGTGGAGCTCCCTATGGGGCCACGAAACGCTGTACTGGGTGGGCGAAAATGCCAAATTGGGCTTCCGGGACGCACGCGGACGGTCCCACTGGAGGCTTCGATGGAAATTTCAATGGGGCCACGAAACGCTGTACTGGGTGGGTGAAACTGCCAAATTGGGTGTGCGGGACGCACGTGGGCGGTCCCACTGAGGGTTTCGGAGGAGCTCCCTATTGGGGCCACGAAGCGCTGTACTGGGTTGGTGAACATGTCAAATTACACCTGCGGGACGCATGCGAGCGGTCTTTCTGGAGGCTACGGTGGAGCTCCCTATGGGGCCACGAAACGGTGTACTGGGGGTGAAAAATGCCAAATTGGGCGTGCGGAGCGCATGCGGACGGTCCCACTGGCCACGAAACGCTGTACTGGGTGTGGCGGGCGCATGTGGCCACCCTTACTGGGGCCTCCGATGGAGCTAGCTCCCTATGGGGCCACGAAGCGCCGTACTGGGTGTGGCAGACGCATGTGTCCACTCCCACTGGGGCCTTCGGTGGAGCTCCCCATGGAGCCACGAAACGCTGCAGTGGGTGTGGCGGGCGCATGTGGCACCCCGACTGGGGCCTTACGTGGAGCTCCATATGGGGCCACGAAACTTTGTACTGGGTGTGGCGGACGCATGTGGTACCCCCACTGAGGCCTTACGTGGAGCTCCCTATGGGGCCACGAAACGCTGTACTGGGTGTGGCAGACGCATGTGGTATTCCCACTGGGGCCTTCGGTGGGGCTCCGTATGGGGCCACGAAACGCTGCACTGGGTGTGGCAGACGCATGTGGTACCCCCCACTGGGGCCTTACGTGGAGCTCCCTATGGGGCCACGAAACTCTGTACTGGGTGTGGCAGACGCATGTGGTACCCCCCACTGGGGCCTTCGGTGGAGCTTCCCATGGGGCCACGAAACGTTGTACTGGGTGTGGCAGACGCATGTGGTACCCCCGTTGAGGCCTTACGTGGACTTCCTTATGGGGCCACGAAACGCTGTACTGAGTGTGGCGGACGCATGTGGTACCCCCCACTGGGGCCATACGTGGAGCTCCCTGTGGGGCCACGAAACTCTGTACTGGGTGTGGCAGACGCATGTGGTACCACCCTCCGGGGCCTTGGTGGAGCTTCCCATGGGGCCACGAACCGTTGCACTGGGTGTGGCAGACGCATGTGGTACCCCCGCGGGGGCCATGCGTGGAACTGCCTATGGGGCCAGGAAACGCTGTACTGGGTGTGGCAGACGCATGTGGTACCCCCCAATGGGGTCATGCGTGGAACTCTCTATGGGGCCACGAAACGCTGTACTGGGTGTGGCAGACGCATGTGGTACCCTCCACTGGGGCCTTACGTGGAGCTCCCTATGGGGCCACGAAACGCTGTACTGGGTGTGGCAGACGCATGTGGCACCCCCACCGGGGGGGGGGCACGGGACGAGGAGACGCCGGGACCGTCTCTTCAAAGCGAAGACCCAACACCACAGGATGGTTGGGAAAGAAAGAGGAAGAGAGAGAGAGAGAGAGAGAGAACTGAGACAGTGACAGAGACTGACAGAAAG